AGGAGGACTCCCCCCGCCACCCGGAGTCCCCCGTCAGCCCGCGAAGGGTCTCAGTTGGAGGATCTGATTTATGACGCTCCCGGCGGGGAGGAAACCAGGTCACACTGTGAATGACGTAGGCTTCATCGAAGGCCGTGCCGGTGTATCGCCTCGAAGAAATCCTCGATTTTTTTTTGAAGTTTGGCTCGAGGATCACACTATAAATTCACGAGGGCGATCGCTGGAATCCTGACACCGAGGGGAAGAGCTTACCTGCGCGAGGCCCCAGGTGTAGAGGACGGCTACCCAGGGGTTGCCTCCTCGGGAGACAATCTTGGCCGGAGCCAGGACAAGCCCTGCGACGGAGAGAAAGCGGCGTTCACTGGACCTCCCGGAGGAGGGGAGGGGGTTGCCGAGAGGCTTGGCGGGAGCACGGGGAGGCGGCCATTTTGCTCACCGAACAGGTCGTCTTTGGCCAAGGCGTGAAGGATGCGGGAAGCGCCGATCAGGTTGCTCATGGAAGCCGAAAGCGAGGCGGAGTAGATGCCCATCAGCACGAAGGGCGGCCAGACGTTGATGGACCGGAAGAAGCCGTAGTCGCCTTTCAGGAGGGCCCTGGTGGGTGGGGGGGAACCAATGTGGAGGGGGGGGGGGGAGGCTCAGGCTGAGGGGCGGGATTCAGCCGGTTCCGGCCGGTTCCGGCAAACCGGAAGTTCAACTGACGTTCTGGTTCGCTGAAACGGTAGTTGAACCGACCGGCTGGCGCCGCCCACCCCTTCTCCTCTTAGGAGTCTCCGCGAGGCCCATTTTGGATGCGGGGATGTGCAGGGGAGGCTCTGGGAGGGTGAGAAATGCCCCTCCCGGAAGTTCCGGAAGTCCAGAAATGGGCCTGTCCCTTCCGGAGGCCTGAGGGAAGCCTCCGGACTCTGGGGAGGACGAAAACCAGCCCTCCCAGAAGTCCTGGAAGTCTAAAAATGGGCCTGTCTGGCTTCCGGAGGGCCTTCCCAGAGGCCTGAGGGAAGC